TGGCTTTCAACAATTTGGCTATGATGTCTTAAGTCACACTTTTCTTTGCATCTATTCTGTTTGACATTTTCTGAACTTGAATTTGTAAATTCAATTTTTTTCTAAAATCTTTTTCCAAATTTGAGAAAACTTCAGCCATCATTACGTCAAACATATTTTTTCTTCATCATTCTGTCTCTTCCCTCATTCTAGGGTTCCAGTTACATGTATATTAAAATGCTTTCAAATTTATTTTCTATTTTATTTTTAATTGATAATAATTGTACATATTTTGAGGGCAGGTAGTGATATTTTGATACATACAATGTATAGTGATCAGATCAAGGTAATTAGCATATCCATCATCTCAAACTCCTATCATGGAGAACATTCAATATCGTTTCTTGTAGCTATTGGAAATATATAATATTTTTAACTATGGTCATCCAACAGTGCTATAAAACTCTAAAACTTACTCTCCTAACTTGCTGTAATTTTGTGTCCTTTAACAAATCTCTCCCTTCTTCCCTTTTCCCCATACCCTTGTCAGCTTCCTGTAACCTTTGTTCTACTTTGTACTTCTTTGAGATCAACTTTCCTGAGCTTTTGCATGTGACTGAGAACATGCAGTTATTAAACCTTTTGATATTGTCCACAGGTCCCCTGGGCTCTGTTAATTATTTTCAACCCTTTTTTCCTCCTTCAGAGTAGGTACTTTCTATTGACCTATTTTCTAATTCATTGCCCCTTTCATTTGTCATCTCAATTATAGTATTTCACCCATCCAGTAATTTTTTTCTTTCAGATATTTTTCAGATCTAAAACTTCCATTTGTAAATATTTTCTGTTTCTATCCTGAGATTGCCCATATGTTTGTGCTCTTTGAGCTTATTTTTCTTTGCATCACTGAGCAGAATTATAATAGCTGCTTTTTGTCTCATCATTGGAACATGTAGACCATCTTGAGTTTGGCCTCAGCTCCTGAGAACTGGTCACATTTTCCTGGTTCTTCATATATAAGGTAACACTTCAGCTGATATGGAAAAAGGGTATCTCCATGTTTTAAAAATTATATTTTAAAGTCATTTGTTTAGGAAGAGCCGTATCTACTGGAACTTTTGTTTGTCTACAAGGAGAACAGCATCAAGAAGAAATATACGTTTCCTTGTAATTATGATTTTGAACTTAGTGTTAATATATTCCTTCTGCCATGACAACCCATTATGCTACAACCCACATAAATTAGGGAATGATTATTATCATTTCACAAGGGACTTTTTATTTTACAAAAGATTTCATATACAGTTTACAAATTATGTGGGAAGACTTTCAGGCATCTGAAAAATAGTAGAGCCTTTGCTTCTAATTAAATGCCAAGCTAAAACCCAGTGTTTGTCTCTCTGAGACCTGCCCATAGAAGCCACTGACAGCCATAATTTGGATGCTCTGAGCCCTATTGCTGGGTTCTTTTTCACAATCCTTAGGGCTACAAATAGCACAATTTGAAATCAATTAATTTAAGATGGCTTTCTTTACAAAACCCAATTAAAAAATTTGGGGCCATCTGTCATGTCAAGCAGTTAGCCCATAAGAAAGAAAAATACAATGAAAGGGAAAGTAATGAGTTATGGAAGGGTTTCCGTTAACTTCATTTTCAATATCTTATTTAAGGCCTGTGGGTGTTCACTGATGCTGTTTCTTTGTCCTCTTTAGTACTGTCTCTTAGAGGACACAATCTTCAGTGTGCATTTATCACATATGGGAACGTTATTGTATTGTATTTTTTAGACAGAGTCTCACTTTGTTGCCCGGCTAGAGTGAGTGCCGTGGCGTCAGCTAGCTCACAGCAACCTCAAACTCCTGGGCTCTAAAGCGATCCTCCTGCCTCAGCTCCCGAGTAGCTGGGATACAGGCATGCACCACCATACCCAGCTAATTTTTGTATATATTTTAGTTGGTCGTTATTTTTTTCTATTTTAGTAGAGACAGGGTCTCCTCAGGTGGTTTCCAACTCCTGACTTGAGCAATTCCGCTTGCCTCGGCCTCCCGAGTGCTAGGATTACAGGCGTGAGCCACCGTGGAGAATTTAGAGTCCAAGAATGTTTTTGCTATCTTACTTCATTTAAGTTTCATTAAATTAATTCCAAGTTCTGCCTTGACAGAATAAAGGAGAGGGAATAGAGATGGAGATGGTAGGATGGAAGAAAGAAGGAAGGAGAGATAAAGGGGAGGCAGGAGAGAGAAAGAACATTTAGAAAGGACCGTGTGGAAAAGCGTATTCTCATGTTACATGTAGGTCTCTGTGTATAGAAAAGGCAATGCCAGGCAACAGAAAGCAGGAGGATCTGTGTGAACCACAGCACACAGTGGGAGGAACATTGCATGTCAAACTGTCCTAAACTCTATGTGGCTTGTTGGTATAAAGTGATTTTCACAAACAGGTATTTCTTGTTATTAATAACATAGTTGTTATTAATTACATGTTGTTACATTATTAATTAATTAATCTTAATACATTGTTTTAATTACACATAAAGTATATTGAACAATTAGCAACCATAGATTGATTTCCAAGTAAGCTATTAGCTAATCCATCCTATTCTATTTTGGGCAATTATTGAATCTGACTATGTACATCCGTCAGCCAAGAGCGGACCACCAAAGATCGTTCCCCTTCAGACCTCCTGAGGACGTCCAGAAGTATTCCTGTGTAAGTGTGTCATTATAGAATTGAACTTATTTTCTTGTTGCACTGTTTACATTCAGAGTGGTTTGGTTGTTACTGTTTTTAAATGTGTATTTTATTTTTAAATGTTTTATTTGGATAATTTAACATACAGAAAAGTATAAAATGATACCCATATACACTTTACTGCATTTACGTATTTGGTAATATTTTACCCCATTTGCTTTACCCTTTATTATCTTTCTCTATCACTGTCATTCTCTTTCTCTCTCTGTATGTGTGTGTAGCTATTCTTGAAGGTCAGATATATACACCATGCCCCTTTATCCTTAATTTTTTTTTTTTGAGACAGAGTCTCGCTTTGTTGCCCGGCTAGAGTGAGTGCTGGCATCACCCTAGCTCACAGCAACCTCAACTCCTGGGCTACAGCATCCTGCTGCCTCAGCCTCCTGAGTAGCTGGGACTACAGGTATGCTCCACGCCATGCGGTAATTTTTTCTATATATATATTAGTTGGCAATTAATTTCTTTCTATTTATAGCAGAGACGGTCTCGCTCTTGTCAGGCTGGTTTCGAACCCGGCCGAGCAATCTGCCCACCTAGGCTGCCCAGAGTGCTAGGATTATATCCTTAAATTATGCTTATATATTCCTAAAAGTAAGGTTTTCTTACATAACACCATCCAGTTATCACCTTCAGTACATTAGCACGGCTATCATATTTTAATCTCCTATTTCTGGTTCCAGTTTTTTGTTGACCCCACTGATGTTCCCTTCCAGCTCGGACCCTCTAGGGCCAGGTGTTGCAGTTAACTGTCACGTCAATGCAGAGGAGTTTTGAAGTCTTCATTCTGAAGAATGTCAAGATTGAGTTGACCTGAGAGGGATGACACTTAAGTGATGTATGTGTCTAATTTTTTTTTTATGATTTTGGGGAAATCAAGCCTTTGCTTCAGCTATCCTGTACATTTTGATTTCTGAAACTGTAGTGCAGAGCCAGGCCGTCTAATGGTGAACAAGATATCCTACCTATTTCTACAGCACTTTGTTCTTTACGCAGTTCCAGGTCATACAAATCGTATTTGTAGGAGGAAAAGGTACAAAAAATGGTTTATTTCTTATTTATGCTACATGTTCGTTACTGAGTTAGCTACATCCCTGTCATATTTGCTTTATTCTGGGATCCAGGTTGAAAGAGTAGTCTCTATCTGGGCTCTTGCTTTCTTCATGAAAGAGGGAAAGGAGAACATGGCAGAACCATTCAATGAGACTTAAGACTTCTGCTTGGAAGTGGCACATAACAATTCTGCTCACAGTTAATTGTCAAAATAAGGCACTTGACAAAATGGAAGCCAATGGGGCAAAGTCACATAATCTCTCCTACTGGGAAAGGGAATAAATAAAGCAGTTTTCTGCCATGGATGGGGATTTGAATTGCTGGTGGGTGCTGGGCTTCCAGGTGTTTAAGCTGCTTCTGCAGCAGTCCCCACGTCTGTGAAAAGGTCAGTTTTTTAGTGGAAAGGGAACCATGTTTTTATGCAAAATGGTTTTAGCAGAACACTGCAAGTCCCATAACACTGAAGAAGACAGATGGTGAATAAGCGCATGGAAAGACGTTCAGCATCATTAACCACCAGGGAAATGCAAATGACACCCACCATGAGACATCACTACACGCCCACCGGAATGGCTGACATAAAAAATGATAAGACCAAACATTGGTGTGGGTGTGGGGAGTGTGGGCACTCACACAGTGCTGGTAGGAATGTGAAATGCTACAGCCACCCTGGAAGACAGACAGTTTCCAGTTTTGACAGTTTCTTAAAAAATTAAACATGCAACTACTATACAACCCAGAAACCACACTCCTGGGGATTTATTCAAGAGTAATGGCTACTTATGTTGATTCTAAAACCTGTACACAAATGTTTCTAGGAGCTGTATTTGCTATAGGCCCAAATTGGGAGCAGCCCCAGGGTACTTCCACAGGTGAATGGTTAAACACACTGAAGTATGACCATAGGTACCATAGAATACTACTAAGCAATGCAAATGAATGAACTATAAATATGCCCTATTTGCTGGCACAAATTTTTGTGCAACAGTCTAGATGAGTCTCCCATTATTGTGAGTGAAACAAACAATCCAAAAAGGTTATATATTGTATGATTCTGTTTACAAAAGGATGAAATTATAGAAATGGAGAAGAGATAAGTGGTTGCCAGGAATTAAAAAGGTGGTAGAGGTGGGAAGAAAGTTTGTGTGGCCGGAACATAGGAATGGAAAAGCTCCCTGTGCTGATGGAAATGTCCAGAAACTCCATTATGTCATGTTAATATCCTGTTTATGATATTGAACTCTAATTTGGAGAGATATCATTGAGAGAAACTGGATAAAAGGTTGATGGAATCTCTTTGTATTAGTTCTTAAAACTGGATGTGAATCTACAATTATCAAAAAAATGAAAAAAGATTAATTTTAACAGGTTACAAGAAGGGAGCAAAATCAAGGAAGCCAGTATGTCAGTTTGTCAGTTACGGCGTGAGCCTTAGAACCCTGACATCCTACTCGTCAGTGGTCCTGACTGCTCAGGAGTCCTCAGGCTTCGAGGATTTGAGCACAGTGCTCTGCCAACTGCTGTAGATATGACCAATTTGGGTGCTAAGAATTGAAGACAAAAGGATGTTCACATCAATCAAAAACCACTCCAAGCTTTTAGGTGGTTATTCAAGCCCTCATGGCACAAGGTAATCTTTTAATATACTGTTGTGGTCATCAGAATGGACTAGAGGTCCCAAGATGTGTTCTGTCTTGTTTCCTCTAAAACATAGGAACTACTTCTTAACTCTAGCACTGGCTTCATGAAAAGCTGCTCATATTCATGAGGTTTAGCTGCTGAGCTCAGGACGGCAGGCTTTGTGTTCTCAGGGGAAACATTCTCTTGGCTCTTTCGGAGATAGTTTTCTGTACATCTATGAAAACGTCTGCCTATTTCTGAGAGTTTTCATGTTCTATTCAAACTAGTTGGTTTCACCTAACATGACCACAGAGTCCTGTTGAAGCTTGGTTATAGCTCAACCATGTGATACCTTAGTACTTCTTTTTGATTGGAAACTTTTTGAAGTTTCCAGTATTATTTGATGATCTTTAGCAAATTTTTTCCCAAAATTTAATATCGATTTACATAAGGTAGGAGTCAATCCACACTCATCAGTTATCTACATTTTCATGCTAATGTGAAACCAAATTGTAATTATTTCTTCACTAATCTCCATCTTATTTTGTTTTATATATGTTGGGCTATAAATTGTCTTGTGTTTGCATTTCATTTCTTCCTTTTTTTACTGGATTTTAAATGCTTGGTGAGCAAAAACTATTAGATTTTATCTGAGTCGTCCTTGCAGAGTGTAGCACAGTGGCTTAGGTGGAGCAAATATGAAGCGATTCAATGGAAACACAAGTACACTTCTTAAAGAAGTGTATAGTTTGGTTTAAAACATTAGGGAAATGTGATTTTTATTTCAAATATTCAATGCTAACTTTTCTCTACGGATGACATATCTGTCACTCTTATCAGAATTAACTAGCAGCAAATATTTATGGAGAACTTTATTTTATTGTATTGTATTTTTTTAGACAGAGTCTCACTTTGTTGCCCGGGCTAGAGTGAGTGCCGTGGCGTCAGCCTAGCTCACAGCAACCTCAAACTCCTGGGCTCTAAAGCGATCCTCCTGCCTCAGCCTCCCGAGTAGCTGGGACTACAAAGTATGCTCCACCCGCATGCCGGGCTAATTTTTTCTATATATATATTAGTTGGTCAATTATATTTCTCTTCTATTTATAGCAGAGACGGGGTCTCGCTCTTGCTCAGGCTGGTTTCGAACCCCCGGCCTTTGAGCAATCTGCCCACCTAGGCCTCCCAGAGTGCCTAGGATTATACTCCTTAAATGTTAATGCTTTTATATTCCTAAAAGTAAGGTTATTCTCTTACATAACCACCATCCCAGTTATCACCTTCAGTACATTAGCACGGCTATCATATTTAATCTCCTATTCTGGTTCCAGTTTTTCTGTTGACCCCACTGATGTTTCCCTTCCAAGCTCGGACCCCTCTAGGGCCGTGTTGCAGTTTATGTCACGTCCAATGCAGAGGAGTTTTGAAGTCTTTCATTCTGAAGAATGTCAAATTGAGTTGACCTGAGAGGATGACACTTTAAGTGATCAGTATGTGTCTAATTTTTTTTTTTTATGATTTTAGGGGAAATCAAGCCTTTAGCTTCAGCTATCCTGTAACATTTTTGATTTCTGAAACTGTAGTGCAGCAGCCAGGCCGTTCATAATGGTGAACAAGATATCCTACCTATTTCTACAGCACTTTGTTCTTTACAGCAGTTCCAGGTCATACAAGTCGTATTTTGTAGGAGGAAAAAGGGGTCGTTCAACACAGTTTATTTCCTGGTCAAGGAGGCAGCGCCGGGCCCAGGCTCGAAGCAGCAGGTGCAGAGCTCGAGGAGAAGTTCTAGAGAGTTTCCGCTGGAAGCCGCGCTCCTGCCTGCTGCTCTGCTGCAGTTTGTGAGCGGATGGCTTCTTCTCTGATCGCATCGCGGCCTCGCTCTGGGATCTTCAAAATTAATTTATTTTAGGATTAATTTACATGAAGTAGCACCCAACATTTCTACATGCAGCATATTATAATACATCGATGAAAGAACTCCAAGTCGTTTCCTCTAAAATAGAGGAGAGAGGAGGGGTGTGTCGGGGCCCACAACACAGCCATTGGACCCATAGAAAGCTTTTTGACCATTTCTTATGGTAAGGTCAATAGTTGCCACAAAGTGTGGTGGGGTGGGGCGAGGGAGACGGGTGGGGAGAGAGATGCGAGGAGAGAGTGGGTGCGGTGGGGGAGGGTGGAGCGAGCCGGGGTGACGGAGAGAGTGCAGTGTAGGTGAAGGATGAGTTGTGGGATGCGAGATATCTGGAGGGTGTAGTAGAGTTAAGAGTGTGGTGAAAAGGTGGAGAGAGTGATGTAAGGGTGGTGTGCGGTGAGTTGGTTGTGTGTGCGGTGTGGGGTTGGTGGGTGCGGGACGTTAAGGATAATGTTCACGTGTATTATTTTTTTGGATGTTTGATCGGATTGTGTATGTGGGTTGTGTGAGTTTACTGTTCGGTTTTTAGTGCTTGAGTCTGATGGCCGGAAGTCGTATGAAGTCATGCGTCAGAGCATGAGATCAGTCTGGTGAGGGGGCGGTGAAGTTTGTTCTTTTACACAGCTCACGCGGTTACACGCTTTCACCTCGATCTGACTGTTGTAGGGTCTTTCGTGGCTTTTCAACGACGTCGCCTATGATGTCTGGTACAGTCACACCTTTTCTTGGCAGCCACGCGTCTGATTGGCGTTGTGACATTTCTGCGAACGGTGAGAGGTTCGTCAAAATTGCGAAGTGTTCTGTGTTGATATCACACAACGCATATTTTCTCCAACAGCTTACGCGAACTTCAGCCATCATTACGGTCAAACATGAGGGTTGTTGTGTTTCAGTCGAGTGTCTGGGCTCATTCCGCGTGCAGTGGTCGTGAGGTGTGCAGTGGTGGAGCAGTGTAGTGGAGTTGGAGAAGAGTGCGTGTGGGTCAAGATTTATTTATCTATTTAATTTGTGTTAATGTGAGTAGGTGAATGGTGTAAGCATGATTTTGGAGGGGCAGGGTAGGTGATAGGTGGTTTGATACATACAATGTGAGGTGGGAGGTGGATGTCAGATCGAAGCGGTACATGTCAGCATATCCATCGATGGCTCAAACTCCTAGTCAAATGGGAGAACATGTCAGCCTCATCGTTTCTTGTGAGCGTAGTTGGTAGATATATGAAGTGGGGGATGTGTTTAACTGATGGTGGCATCCAACGGCAGTGCTGGAGGTGCTAGGCGGAAGCGCTCGAAAGGACTTGACCGTGCCTCAGCACGGTGGCTAGCGGGTGCGTTGGTTTGTGCGTCTGTGGCTACAGCGAACACTGCCCGTCCTGTGGCGCCTTCCCCGCCAGTGGACGGGTCCGGGCGGGCGAGCGGGCGGCGGCCCTGCTCGCGATCGGCTGGTCGCTGGAAGCCTGGTGTGTGTTAGCGGTGTTGGTAGCTGCGGGCGGTCTTTGGATAGATGCGAACTTTCGTGAGGCTTTCCGCCTCACGCAGTGCAGTCATCGAGAACCACTTGCGCGCCCCCCAGCGCGTTCTTCTGGATATTCTGAAGCCCACAGTGCCCCTGCGCTCATGCGGTGTACCACCGTGATCGTTGCAAGCGCCTCGCTTTCTTTCTCCTCTCAGAGCTCAGGGGTGACGTAGGCGGTTGCCTGAGTGGTGGAAGCCTACGTTGTCGGCCGTACGAATGCCAGTTGCCGCCCGCGTCTCTAACTCTCATCTGCGCGTCATCCGGCGTCAGATGTAGGCTCGAGGTGGACCGTGCGCTGGTCACCCGCACCCGCGGTCTGCCGAGGGGAATGTTTTTGCGTTTCAGATATTGGTTGTGTCAGAGTCTAAGACTTCCAGTGGTTGTAAACGCGTGACGTTCCTTTCATAGTTTCTATCCTGAGATTGCCATATGTTGCGTCGCTGCTGGCGTTGGAGCTTGAATTCGGTTCTTTTGCTTCGACTGAGCAACATTACCTCCGATGACCTTTTAGTGCTCATCGTTGGGAGCGACATGTAGACAACATGTCTTGAGTTTCGGCGTGCGAGCTCGCGGTGAGAACTGGGGTTCAGCGGAGTTGTTCCGTGGTGGTCGGTGGGCAGTGAGTATGGGAGGGCGTAACGACTCTCACGTTGAGTGGCGTGGCGGGCGCAGGCGCCAACCGCGCGCTGAGGTCGCCGGAGGTCGGCAGGTGGTGGGTGTGTGAGAGAATCTATATTTTAAAGGTCGTTTGGGTGTGGTAAGGAAGGAGAGGCGTAGGTCTGGAACCGCGCTGGAAACGTTGAGGTGTTTCTACGAGGGAGCGAGGCAGTCAAGAAGAGATAGGAGGATGGGCGAGTTTGGCGGTGTGGTAGATGTGAGATGTTGTGAGAACTAATGAGGGTGGTTAATATGAGATGTTGCTTCTGCGAGTGGGGACAGAGACCGCATTAGGGTGCTGACAGGACGCGCGAGCGGATGAAGATTAGGATAGTGGAGGGTTCATTAGGTGCATGGTTCCGAGAGGAGGCTGGTGGTTTATTTACAGAAAGGATTGTCGAGTAGTACAGGTGTTGAGGAGGAGAGAGTGGGGGGGGAGAAGGGGAGGGTGTGCTGAGGCAGGAGCGGAGAGGAGGAGGGAGTGAGGTGGAGGGCGTCGTGTGGCGGTCTGAGAGCGTGTGAGAGAGGGGTGCCAGAGCTGAGGGAAGAGCGTGGTGCAGGTGTTGGTTGCTCGGGTGCGTGGAGGAGCCGGGGCGCGGTGAACGAAGGGTCGCGACGAGCGAGCGCGCGCGATGGAGAGTGTGTGGGGAGGAGTGCGCGTGAGCGGGAATGTGCGGGTCGGTCTGTTTGGCACGAGGATCGTCGGCGTGTTCTATATTCAATAGCACAATTTGAAATCAATTAATTTAAGAATGGCTTTCTTACAAAACCCAATAAAAAATTTTGGGGCCACTCTGTTCACATGTCAAAGCAGTTAGCCCATAAGAAAGAAAATACAATGAAAGGGAAAGTAATGAGTTATGGAAGGGTTTTCCGTTAACTTCATTTTCACAATATCTTATTAAGGCTGTGGGTGTTCACTGATGCTGTT